TCATGTTATGACGTAAGAGTGTAAGACTAGTCTACACTGGATAGTTTCACATGATTAAGAAAAGACATAGCCATGCATTATTTTGCATATTTCATAATTTTCATGCAAGTTGAATTGTACAATATCCACTAAATTGAAAGATTTATTCTGGCTACAATCAAACTTCATTCAAAAGGATTTTTTGATGTGGTATATTCCAAAATCTAATTTCAATTAAGAGTAATGATATACGTATTCTTTAGGGCTATATATAACCATTAAATATACTTTCTAAAATGAAATTAAGTTGGGAATTTATGACAAAATCATGCGTAGATCGGTATAATTAATGTTAATTTATCCTCACTATTTTCTTTTTTAGCTTCTTAAACATTTTCCTTCAATTAATACTCGTATTTGATCTTCAAAAACAATCTTCAAAATAATAATCTTTATAAATCTAGTTTTAAAATAAATATACGAATGTCATTTTAAATACTCGTAACAAAATTTGATCTAAATTGTATTTTAAAAATTTACATTTTCCTTGAACAAATAATTTTTGATAGAGATTCTTCCATAAAACAATTTTTGTTTCCTAGAAGTAGTTTTTTCAGAACTGTACGTTCCAAAAGAAACACTTTCAAGAAACATATTTGTCTAGCCACAAAATTTTAGAAGTGCTTTTGAGAAATAGAAACAATTTTACATTGTTTGGCCATTGAAAAGTGGCATAGTACGACCATCTTATTTGATAAAAGAAGATTAATTTTAAAAATGAAGATTAATTTTATTTGATAAATGAAAATGAGTGGAGTACATGTTATTCATTTTTTTTAATGATAAAAGACCCATTATCTTTCTCACATTTCTCTACCTTTCCCCTGCTAGCTAGTGCTGCTGCTTTAAGCCATTATTTTTAGGAAAATTTATGAGGAAGGTCATTTTAAGTGGTCGATCTTATGAGCTGAGGAAGGTCCTTTTATGACAAAAGTGGCGAGGAAGGTTCTTTTATGGAGATTGAGTTGTGAGGAGAGTCCTTTGGACAAACTCCGGCGTTGACTAATTTTTTCCGGCCAAAAAAGTCATGTGCACAGCACGTGACCACTTAAATGGCCCCTTTTTTTTTCTTTTTTCTTTTCTTTCCTCTTCATCTTCTTCCTCCCTTTCAATTCCACACCTCCATGAATGGCATTTCCGGCCAGACCTCCGCCCACCACACCTCCACCTCCGACAACAAGGAACCCCATCCCTTTCCCCCACCCTTTCTCCCTTTTAAAAACACTCCAAACGAACCTTCCTTTGCGCAACACCAACAGCAACCCACGCAACACCAATTAGCCATCGCAAGCAGCCACCACTCCACCAAATTCCAGCCAACCGACAACACAAATAACAACAATTACAGCAGCGTTGCCACCTTCCCTTTGTTGGATATTTAGAGTGTTGATGGTTGCGCGCTCGCGCCCATGAAGAGCGCCCGCGTAAGGTAGGCGCGGCCGCGCAGAGAGCGCGCCTAAACGCGCACCTCTCCGGAAATCAGCAAATTGGAAGGGTGTGGTTGGCGCGTCTGTGCCTCTTGGTGGAGCGCCCGCCCTGCTGGTCGCGCATAAACCGCGCCCCTCACTGCCTTCTCGTGGAATCTCGTAGATTTTGGGAGGCGCGCCCGCGCTGAAATGTGCCGCGCCCGCGCCTCCCTGTTTTGCGGTTTTTCCTGACGGTTGAGTCTTTTATTAAAAGACAAAGTTTCGTGAAGAAAAGTGACAAAAGTTAATTCTTCATCTCTCCAAAAAGTATACTCCATATTTTCTCTCAAATTTCTTGCACACTTTTGTGAGAAAAACTCTTTCAATTAATCCAATTTTGGTGAATTTGTCATCTTGATTTCGATTCTAGTACTAAGAACAAAATTGCTGTCAATTGTATCTCAAAGAGGATTTCCGGCTCAACCCAAGTACCGTGTGGGGGAAATAAATCTCTTTAGGAAAGTGTATACACGCCTTTGACAGTGTATCAAGGTTTGAGAGTTACGTGGTCATCGATATTCTCATGTTCATGGTTGGTGTAGTTGGCTTGGAGGAAAGGCAAGTTTGATACTTCACACTAGTGTAGTCTTTGTAAATTTTCAGTAATTTCATTGACAATTCAAATACTTGATTGTAATACTTTGTTTTGTATTTGATATTTACAATTTAGAATTGTAATCATATATTTTAGGATTTGTTCCCACACATTGTTTAAGTGTTTTCTTGATTGAAATCGCTGTAAATCCTAACACCCTTCACCGTAAACAGCCCACCTTCACCACCAATTCCCTGCATCTCCAACCAATCAACCTCCTCACACTCCAACAACAATAACAACCCTTGCTTTCTTCGCCACCAAGCTCCACCGCTTCACATGCAGCCACTGTATATAGAACCTCCTAGATCTCCCCTTCTCCACCACAAACAGCTGAAACAATAACCAACCTAGCCATCTATCCACTACTTCACCAATCTGATGAAGATCTGGAAGCCTCGATCAAGGAGGAAGCAGTTGACGATGTTTGTATGAACACAGTTGTCGACATCACCGCCGGTGATGATGGCTTCCCAATCTACCATTCTCCCTCTGTTTACTCCAACTATACTCTCCTACCCTTTACTTCTCCTTTCAATCTTCAATTTTTTCCAAATCCATTACTCAATTTCTCCAATTTTGCACGTTAATTTGTGATCCCTAATCAATTTTACAATGGGGTTCCTTGTTGCCGAAGGTGGAGGTGTGGTGGGCGGAGGTCTGGCCGAAAATTCCATTCATGGAGGTGTGGAATTGAAAGGGAGGAAGAAGATGAAGAGGAAAGAAAAGAAAAAGAAAAAAAGGGCCATTTAAGTGGTCACGTGCTGTGCACGTGACTTTTTTTGGCCGGAAAAAATTGGTCAACGCCGGAGTTTGGTCAAAGGACCCTCCTCACAACCCAATCTCCATAAAAGGACCTTCCTCGCCACTTTTGTCATAAAAGGACCTTCCTCACAAGGTCGACCACTTAAAAGGACCTTCCTCGCAAATTTTCCTTATTTTTATTATTTTAAATCAAATTACCACGGCACCACCACTTGCTATTCTTAATATATCGCTTGCTAAACCCATAAAAACCCATTCTAAAAATTATCGGATACATCAATCCTCCCACCCACTCCTCTACAAGTGCACCAATTTCTCCACCACTATCTCCACTAGGCCAGTAACAGTAAAACTTTGGGATTTTAATTGCAACTATAGGCTGGAGTTCTTATGGAGTTGTGGTCAAATCTAGAGAGATAAGGATAAAAGGGCTTGATTTTATGAGAGGATATATAGCCATTTTAACTTTTTTTGAGGGCATATTGGTCCACATAAATTTTCATTTAATGGACTAAACTCTTCCCCGAGAAACTAAACTAAGGGGTCATTTGGTTCGCGAAAGGTAAACAGAATGGAATGAACAAAGGGAAGAAAAAGAATGAAATGAAAATCCCCCAAATTTCCTATGTTGTTTGTTTTGAATAACAAAGGGAAACAAGCCACCACTTCCACCACCACACAATACCTATTTCCTACCTTCTTCAGCCACCACAACACTCGCCGCTCTTCCCTCACCACTCGCCGCCTATTGCTGGAGCTCCCCCGTCCTTCGCCGCCACTCCCCTCCCCTGAAAAACTCCCCCACTCCCGCAAAAACCCTAAAAATTCATCCCCTTCCCCGTAAAAAAGCCGGCCGACCCTCCCCCACCCTCAAAACCCTAGTAGCTAGTGCATGGGTATCGATTTCCAACCCATTTAAAATCAGGCCGAAATAGTGCAAGGGTATCGATTTTGAACCGAGTTTAGTATTTAAGCCATATATTTAAATCTAGAAATTATATTAACTTGATTCTAATTGGGTTAGAAAGTAGACATCCAAAGCTTTCCAACAATATATTATTTGTCTTAATTCGACTTTGGGATCAAAAGTTATGATAAAAACAAAATTCGCAAAAAAACTTGGAAAATACGCCTAAAATTTTCGAACTCCATGGGGAGCCTAGGAATTTCGAAAATTCTAGGCATTTGGCCTCTACCCAGAATTTTTTTAAAAAAAATTCGATTTAAACTCCGGGCCTCGGTTGGTGATGGTTGGTGGTGGTTTGTTAGGATGAGAGAATGTTTTAGAAGGAAGAAACACGTGGTATATATGTGAGGGTATGTTTGTCCATTCATGTTTAAATGCAGGCGCTACCCGGTAAAATGAGGGCGTCGTTTAGCTTTCCACATAAAGAATTATGATCTTATACTCTCTTTGGGACCACAAACCCCAAAACCCAATTAAATCCTATATTTTCTCTCTCATCACTACCCCCACTTCCCCCACTTCCCCCACTTTTTGTTTTCTTACAATATAAAAATACAATAGAGAATCTTTTATATATTAAACAAATGTTTAAAAGGACTCACTTGTAGTGGGGGTGCTGGTCCGTGGGTGGTGGCCTGGTTTCGTGGGGTGGGGGTGGCCGACCCATGGGTGGGTGTTTCGTGTGATGAGGGTGGTTGATTCGTGGTTGGGGAACTACTAAAATTCGGCCAAATTGCAACCGATTTTCTACGACCGTCATAAAAACGGTCGCAAAATATGAAATTTGTGATCAATTTGTACCCAGTTGCAATATTATGACCGTTTTCAAAGCGGTCGCAAATTTGCAACCGTTTTTAGGCTATCAAATAGTCGCAAAGGTATTAAAACATTTTTCTAAAAATAAAGTACATGTGTAAAATAATTCAAAATAAAAGTAATTCTATTGCGACCGCTAAACAGTATTATTTTAAAAAAAATTAAATTATAAAAGGGGTGCCCAACTCACTCTAACCCTAATTTACTTTGAAGCGCCGCTCCTCCTTCTCTTTCCTTTCTCTCTTCTCACGCTTTTGAGATTCTCCTCCATTCTCCTTCTCTTTCCTCACGTTTTTCCTCTTCTCTTCTTCTTCTCATTCCTCATCTCTACTTCTTAATTATTTTCCTTCTCCTTCTCTTTCCTCTTCTCTTCTCCTTCTTTTCCTTCTCTTTCCTCTTCTCCTTCTCTTTCCTCTTTTGATCTGTCTCGGAAATTTCTGGCACCTTCAGTGGTTTGAACGAGACCGACAACTTCTCCTTCACAATCTATATTTCTCTTAGGTGGTGGTGGTAAAAAATTTATTGGTTTTTAAGGTCGAATTTGACCATGAAAACTCTAGATATAGACTTTTCATGGTCGAATTTGGCCTTATTAAACCAAATTTGAGGTGAACTTTGAAGTCATTTCGGGGTTTGAGGTATGTTTTCGTGTTTTTGGTGATTTTTGGTTTCGTTTTGGTTGATTTTCATTTCGATTTTTGTTGATTTTGGTTGATTTTTGTTGTTTGTTTTTAGCATGGTTTATTTTAGTAGGTTTGATATTCGTTAATTATTGGGTTTGATTTTCGGGTAATTTTTGGGTAATTTTTCTGTTTGATTTTCATTAATTTTTGGGTTAGATTTTCGAGGCGAAATCGTTTGATTTTTTTTTTTTATTTATGGATTTGATTTTCGTTAATTTTAGTGGGTTTAATTTTGTTTGATTTTCATGTTCGAATTTTCGTTAATTATGTTTAGGGGTGGCTTTTGTGGTGGCTGATTGGGGTTTTCGGTAGGGCTGAGCAAAAATATCTAAAAAACCGAAAACCCGAAAATCCGTACCGTAACCGTTCCGAATAATTGGGTACCCGAACCGTTTAAAGAATTCGGGACGGGTAACTTAACCGATAAGAAATTAATGGGTCGGATATCGGGTACCCGGAAATTAAAAATGCTAAATAAAAGTATGAAACCCGTGTTTTGTTAAAAAAAAAAAAAAAGGATTTCTAATTTCTCGTTTTTTTTTTCTCATTTCTGATTTCTCACTCAGCCTCCATCCCACTTTCTCTCTCCTCTTCCTCTTCCTCCTCCCTTCTTCCTCACTCACCCACTCATTCATCAAATTTCTGGGCGACATTCTGGGCAGCGAATTCAGCAACAACCTAGCAACAACGATCTCAGGGGAAGCTAAACTCGGTAATGGAGGAACCGAGGTGGTTGTAGCTCTCGGTTTGCTACGAAACAGGCTGGAATTTCGTTGAGTTGAAAGTTGTAATTTGGGGGAAAGTTTCTGGGCTGGTTTTAGTTGAAGTAAATCAGCAAGAATAAGAGGTTGAACTGAAAGACATCGCAAGGGATCTGAAGAGAAGAACCAAGATAGAAACTGCGGTGGAGCAGTAGCTTGTTTGTGGGCCTGTTCGTGGCTGTTTCTCATTCTCCAATTTTCACTCAAGAAAAATTGGTATTCATTATTGTAGATTCCTTTGTTAATTTATATTTCAACGGTTGGTGATTGGTACTAATTTAATTTTGTTTTCATCATTTCATTAATGTCAGATTAAGGAGTAGTTTCAAGTATTATTGGATTCATTTACTTGTTACATTTATTTTCTTACTTTCTCCGTTAAACCCCATTTTCAGTTTTTCATTAATGTCAGATTAAGGAGTAATTTTTTTAATTTTGTGAGATATGATGAATAATTTTTGGTCCATGTTTCTGAATTTAATACCAATTAACCAACTCTGATCTCAATTTTTTTAAATTAAATTTCTTAATTTTATTGCGGCTCAATGATTTTTCAGCCTTTGTTAATAAGCTTATTGGTTAGGTTCGGATATTTGGTTCGGGTACCTGTATTTTCAGGTATCCGAATTTACGGGTACCCGTTCCTTATCGGATCGGTTTCGGTTATTGGTTTTCTCCTTATTGGTTATCGGGTACCCGAACCGATAACGTTATCGGTACGGGTACCCGTCCCATGCTCTCCCCTAGTTTTCGGGGTAAAGGGATGGGAATCCGTGGTGGCTGGGTGGGATTTATGGGGTGGGCTGGAGTTTTCGTGGTGGCTGGTGGAGTTACCAGGAGTGAAGGTGGTGTTTTCGAGGTGACTAGCCGGTGGTGTATTCGGGGTGGTTGGTGGTGTTTTAGGGTGGGCAGTGGTGGTAGGTAAAGGTGGTTTGGTTGGGACCGTTTTCCATATGGTCGTTGAAAATAAGAAAAACAATCAAAAAAAATCTGCGACCGTAGACCGGTCGTAATAATCTTTTTTGCGACCACGTGAATAATTACCAGTTGACCACATTACGAACGTTGACGGTCGCAATTATTTTCAGCGACTGTCAAAGGCGGTCACAAAATCCTTAAATTTTAGTAGTGGGGGGAGGGTTTTGATAATACAATATTATAAACGATTTATGTGCTATATTTTATTGTGCAATCTCTATACATTTAATCTTTTAAAGCTATTATTATTTATATTTCGATGTGGCTCTCCTCGCGTTCTCTTTCTTTATTTTGTAGGATTTTGCCTAACTGGTCGCATTTGCAACCCGAGTTTAGCTGGGAGCGTATTGAAGATTATTATGAACTTGACATCATCTCATATTCCCAAGCTTGAGGTTGTATTTTGCATGAGAATATTGTGGAAATTACTTAAGCCCCAACCTGGCCGTGGCTTGTAACAACAACCTTGACCAGGTCATGGCTCCTCTATTTGTGCTCAAGCAAAATACACCAATGCAGTCTACACCACAGGCAGACCATGGCTTGACTTCAGTGGCAACGGGTAGGTCGTGGCTAGCTTCTGTGCAGCGTTTTGGATCGATATTCTGCCGACTTTTATTAAGACTTCTAATCCTAGTTAACTTCCCTAATATCCATGATTATAAAATACTCTTTGTTTAGGGCTTAAGACAGGAGGGAGAACAACGGTTTGTTTAGCATAGGAGGTGTGGTTTCCAGCCACCATTATATCAGACTTTACTTTTAGTTTTGTAAATTTTAACTTTATTTCGTTCTTCTCAAATTCACTTTGATCCTTTTTTGATTTTAATGTATTGTTAATTTTATATTCTAGATTTTGGTTTGAATCCTAACCATGATTGATACTAATTTATTCTTTTAAATTCTCAATTAGTTATTTATGTATTCTTGCTTAATTGATTGTGCTAGCTTATGTCAATTCGTGATTAGGAAAAATTGGTATTGTTGTTATTATTCTATTGTCTTGATCACAAGGGGATTTAGTTTTTGACGGATTTGATTATTTCAATTAAGGACATAATTTCTCCACGGAAGTAGGTAGAACGAATTGTTAGGAAGTTAGGGTGCCAGACTGCCAAACATAATGTCTTTAATTTGCATGATTCCACGGAAGTAGGTTTGATTGATTAGGGAAGCCATTGACAACTTAGAAGAGATCTTTGATATTTATTTATAGAGTGTACCTTTCGTTGTGAACATATATATCATTGATTGGTTGGGGTAGGAATTTGTCTTGTATTAATTACGCTGGTGGTGATAATTAATTCTAGATACTAATTTTGATTTAATTTCTTATTTACTTTAGTAGTTTGATAATTACTACCTATTTTGATGGACTTAATTATTTATACTCTATGGCAACCCAATATTGATGCTACCTTCTCTGCGTGATCGACCCTTGCTTACCCTACTACATAATTAGGAGGATTCGTTAGGTTTTTATTATTTTTGTTAGGTGTGCGACCGCCTAACAACTTTCGTGGGGTGGGGGCGGCCGATTCGTGGTTGGGGTGTTTTGTGGGTGAGGTAATTGGTCAGTAAGCGGGGACGTCCAGTTGCAGGGGAGGAGGAGGTTGGGTGGAGAAAGGGTTGTTGGGAGGTCGTTTGGTCGAAATTAATTAATGTACGGAGATAGGAAGGGGAAAGAGAAAGGAAAGAGGAAAAATAAATAAAAAATGAAAAAATGTACTTGGATGAAATACAGAGTGACACGTGGCATGTGAATCTATAATATTGGTTACCAACCGATCGGGGATCAATAATCGAGGTCAATAATACCCGTCAAAGGTGGAATTATTAACAACGAATGAATCGATAAAAGGTGAGATTATTAATTAGAATCAATTTTTCAAAAAAAAAAAAGGGAAAAAACCTATCCTATTTAGAATCTCTTGGTATAAAACTAAAATTATGGCCACAAGTACTTATTGAGATAATACAATCACATTTGTATATGTCATAATAATTAAACATTCTTAATCATTCATGTTAACATGTTACTTCCTCTGTCCCTACCTATTTTTTTGCCCCATTGGACTTTGCACGGTCTCCAAGACGCGTCTGTAACGTAAATACTCCATCCGTTTCGTATTAATCACAATAGTAGGCCTTGCACAAAGTTTTAGGAAATTTATAGGGTAGGGATCATAGGGTAAATTTTATAATATAAATTATAGTTAGTGGGAATATATTTCATTGTTAGTAGGAGAGAGAAATAATAATATAAGTGGGAGAGAGAAATAATTAAATATTTATGCAAGTGGGGTAAGTGGGAGAGAGAAATAATAAAAGTGTAGTGGGTCCTTACTAAAATAGGAAATGTTGCAACTATTATGAAACGGATGTAAAAGAAAAGTGTTGCGATTATTACGAAACGGAAGAAGTAACTTTATTTCTATACGCGTAAAAATTATAAAAACTTAATATTAATTAAATATACAATGAGACGAATTCAATAAGACCCACATGACTATATCACCTCTTATTGATTAATGGAAATTTATGGTTAAAATTTTTAAATTTTTACTCCATTATTTACAATGGGACTAAAATATAGAGACAGAGGGAGTATCACGTAATATAAGGGAAGACTAGTCTACACTGGATAGGATCACATGATTAAGAAAAGACAGTAGCCATGCATTATTTTTTTGTATAGACATAGCCATGCACTATTTTGCATATTTCATAATTTTCATGCAAGTTGTACAGTATTCACTAATAGACAGAAATTATATTACATGCAAGTTGTACACTTCACAAATATTCACTAGATTGAAAGATTTATCATGGCTACAATTAAATTTCAAAAGGATTTTATAATAGCTTTTTTTGTCAGAAACTACCTAATAAAACCTAAATTTTGTGATAAACTACCTTATAATAAAATGTTGTAAAAAACTATCTAATAAATAGTAAAATGTTGTAGGATACTACCTTTAGCCGAATTTCTACCGTTAACTTGATTTTATGGCGTTGACGACCCAACTCAAAACACCCCAAAAACCACCACAGGGGTTGGTTTTCAAGGTGGTAAGGTTATTTTCGGGGTGGTAAGAGGATATTCCAAGTTGATGAGGGTAGTTTCATGATTCGGGATGTTGTTTTTTGGGGTTAGAGGTGGTGGTTTTGGGGTTGGAGGGTGGTTTCGGCATGGTGGAGGCAATTTCAAGTAGGTTGTGTTGGTTTTGGGGTGAAAGCAATGGTTTTAGGGGTGTTTTGAGGTGGGTCAATGGTGGATTTTCGGCAGAGGTATTATTTTATAACATTTTACCTTTTATTAGGTAGTTTCTTACAACATTTTACCTTTTATTCGGTAGTTTCTTACAACATTTTTTTTATTAGATAGTTTCTCACAAAATTTAGGCTTTATTAAGTAGTTTTTGACAAAAAATCCTTTTAGAAATTATACTTTTCCATAATTCTAATTTCAATAAATACTCGTGTTTATCTTCAAAAATAATAATCTTTTATAAATCCAATTTTAAAATTAATATAAGAATGTTTTAAATAACCAAATTTGATCAAAAAAGTATTTAGAAATTACATTGCCCTTGAATAGATTTTTGATAAAGATTCTTTAAAATAAGATTATTCTAATGTGTATTAACTGATTTTTTCCCTACATAAAATAATTTGAAAATAAATATACTTTTAAATAGAAAAATAAACCAAAATTGGTTTTATTAATCCCAACTTTGCTATGATTTTCTTTTAATAATCCTAACTTTGAATGACTATGGAATAATCCCAACTTTGGGAGTTGTTTTCTTCCTTCAATCTTTATGACCGGTTACCTGTTGAAAAGGTTAATTTTTTTTTTTCATATATAAAATGTATAGTGTTGAGAGCCAGCTAATTGGTCAAAAAGAATTAAAAAAAATCAAAAAAACAAAACTATGAAATTGAAGATACTCATTGATCCTTCCAAAACTATGACGGCTGACATCAGGAACTTGAAATGGAAATATAAAATAGTCTACAGTATGCGTCGACTCATCTTTACCAGTAAATATTTTCTCCATTTTCTTTTACTTGCCACACAATTTTAATAACACGATATTATATATAATTTTATGTTATATTTGATCATATTTTTGTGTTTTCTCCATAAATTTAATCTTTTAGAAATATTATTCTTTATATTTCGATGTTGTTCTCCTGGTGTTGTCTTTCTTTGTTTTGTAGGATTTTTGCCTAAAATGTCACTTTTGCAAGCCGAGTTGAGCTTGGAGTGTTTAAAAGATTATTATGATTATTGGACCATCTTTAATTAAAATCATAGAATATTCAACGCTTTATCTTATTCCCTTCGTATTTAAATAAGTGAATCGTATCTCTTGTACATGTATACCGATGCAATACTTTAACTGATGTTATCTTTAATCATCAATAAGTAAAAATTATACCAATTAATTAAATATTAATAAGGATTTTTTGTTAGAAACTAATCAATTAAACCTAGATTTTGTGATAAACTATCCAATAAAAAAATGCTTTAAGAAACTACCTAATAAAAGGTGATCGACTTGTATATTACTACCTTTAGTCGAATTTCCACCGTTAACCTAATTTTCCAGCGTTGACCCACCTTAAGTAATACCATGGGTAGAACATCAAGGATTAGACGAAGTTTATATTCCCTCCATCTCAGAATATTTGAGATGTTGGACTTCTTTAACTATTCATGTATTAACTTTGACCATAATTTTTTACTAACATATAATATGTCGTTAGATAGCTACTAATGTAAAGTTTCATAATATAATTATTAAAATAATTTTCATTAATATTTAACTATATAAAAATAAAGTCAAATTAATATATTGACATGTGTGTAAAGTTGACTGTGTCACATATTCTGAGACGGAGCGTACTAAATATTGATCTCAATAGATGGATTGGTTGGATACATTTATCCTTGAGAATTTTTTTTTCTTTTTTTTTTTGAAGGATTTATCCTTGAGAATTTATCTTTAGATACAAGTGTAGACTAGTCTACCCTTTACTTGAGTGAGGTAACCACACATTATGATACATTAAATAATGTAAACAACTATAACGAACCGACATACATATTGAATTTTCTTTACTCCTTAAATTAATCCCCAAATATACAAATTCTTAAATGAACTTGGTTCACATTAATTTATTGTGAACCACTAACATTAGAAACACTATAATTATTTTATTAACAAAATAAAAAGGTCACTACATTTAAATAAAGGTTGTTATGTTGAAATAAAAGTCATTGTAGTATTATAAAAGCTTAGGAGGATTTTTTTTATTTTTTAATTAATGAAATTATTTATATACTGGTCAATATAAATGATGAAGGTCACTATGTTAAAATTAGGGTCATTATATGTTCAACATAAGGGTCACTATGTTTAATATAACGCCAGTTACGTGCGAATAAACCTCAGTTTCACAATAATATTATTGTGAACTAGGTCCACACAAGTTTTTTTCCCCTCGAATAATCAGCTTTTGATGTTGGAATTTGAACCACCAATTGATATCTATGTTAATTAGAGATAGATATAGATATCTATGTTAATTAGAGATAGATATAGATATCTATCTTAATGTCTCTAATGATAAATATTGTAGTAATTTTTGTGTTATACATCTAATTTTTGGCCTGGACAATGTAGAAGTGTTTTATTTTAAGTATTTAAATTTTGAATAGGCTAGAGATGTAATGGATGGATACTAAAACACCAACAAAATCATCAACTTCCGATCGCAACCAGGCCAAACTCTAAAATATATAATCAGTTCAAAAATTAAAAAATAAAATCTTGTAAATGTAATTGAAAATAAAGACAGTGCGTGTTGCATAGAGCCGTCAAAAGTTGATCCGATCCAAAAAATTTACTCGAACCCGATAATTAACGACCCGTTTGAATCCGGAAAAATGGTGACCCGAATCCGATATGACCTGACCTAAAACCAACCTTAGACCCGAGTTAACCCAAGTATTTGAAACCCAAACCTGAACATGAACCGACCTAGAGATGACCCGACCCGAATATAGCCCGTAAATTATTGACCTGAACCAAACCCGACCTGAACCGAGATTGACTCAAACCCGTTTTAACCCGTCAAAAGCCGAATTTAACCCGATGTTACTAACCCGACTTGAATTCAACCCGACCTGTTCCTAACCCGACCCGAATTTAACCCGACCTATTACTAACCCGACCCGAAATCAACACGACTTGTTATTAACCCAACCCAAATTCAACCCGACTTATTATTGACCCGACCCGAAATCAACTCGACTTATTATTTTATACATCTTTATTATTGTAGATATTGACTAGCTAAATAAAGATATATGCTATATATATTCTAATCTACTTGTAAAATCGTAACTTCGTAAGGCTAAAACTACTCTATGTTAATATTGATTGATCAAAGTATTTTGTCTTGGATGCAGGGAGACCAAGTCAGTTCAGCAAAAGAAAGAAGCATCATCCCCAAATTTAAGTGTTAAATATAGTTTATATTTGTTGTATGGTCAAAGGAGATAATTAGCTTGATAGTTATCTACATATAGTTAGCTAGAGTTTACCCTATGATGATTGAACATGTCATCTCGAATATGAATTTATCTGAAATTGTTATCCCTAAAATGAGAATAGATTAGAATAGGGTTTGAACTTATCTTCTCAAAATCTAAACTAAACCTATCTTACTGGAATTAATATGAACTTATTATATAGATCTTATCTAAACTTATTAGAACTTATTAGCTCACTTATCTGAAATTATTTCTCTTACAATAAATGAAGAAATTGATAATGATTAAACGTGAACGTCATTACATGAACTATTAACAAACCGACCCAAAAAATGTACCGGAACCCGATATAACCTGTCCTAAAATCAACCCAAAACCCAGATTAACCCAATATTTAAGACCCGAACATGACCCGACTTGGAAATGACCCGACCTGATTATAACCCGCAAATTATTGACTTAAACCGAACCCGACTTGTTAATGTGCCGACCTAATTATAACCCGCAAATTATTGACTTGAACCAAACCCGACTTGAGACGAGAATGACCCGACTTGGAAATGACCCGACCTGATTATAACCCGCAAATTATTGACTTGAATCGAACCCGACTCAAACCCGAGAGTGACCCGACCTAATTATAAATTTATAACCCGCAAATTATTGACTTGAACCGAACTCGACTTGAACCCGAGAATGACCCTAACTTGTTTTAACCCGTGAAAACCCGAATTAAACCCGACCTATTATTCACCTGACCCGTATGTAACCCGACCTGTTATTGACCCGACCTAAATCCGACCCAAACCCGATAAGATGTATGACCCGACGTGACCCGACTCAAGCATGACCCGACCCGAATCTGGCCCGCATAGGTTACGACAGTAACCCGAATTGACCCGACCAGAGTTGACCCGATCCACACTTACCCGACCCAAACCCAACCCATTTATCCGAATTGACAGCTAGCGTTGTGTGCCCAGTTAATTATTACTTAGAATTTTGTTGTTTTTAATTATTAAAATTAAGTCTTTTAATTTATCTAATAAATACAAGATAATAATTATTAGGTTCAAATCTGATCTTGGTAAGACATTTTGTTAAGAATGAGGAATTAGTGCTACGCCAAGTTTGAGAATAATTTGCCCTGTCATGTTAATGCTCATGTGACAATAAGTTTGAGAATAACATTCCTTGGAGTTTAAAATTATTATACGAATACGCGGAGTAGATGAATGCAAAAACTAAATTTATTAATAATCCAAAATCAAAAGGGCCATAACTTAAAAACTTGGTCACCGAGACACACAAACTGGTACTCCGTAGCTTATTGAGTTATTTCTACGGACATGATATGCAGCAGTAACTACATCAATATTAGTCTTATTATTCAAGGATTCCGTGCAGCAGCAGCATTCTGAGTAGGAATTTTACGAGTTCTGAAAGCTCGAATGCTCGGAGTTGGTTTAGCTTGAATCTGAGGCATGTCTTCATGCTGACATTGGCTCTGGCAATGGGTCTTTCCACAGAACTCAAGAGTTTTACCACAGTACCCTGAAAAATTACAGCAGAATCCATCAGGACAGGTGCTGTTATGCGCGATCTTCCCACAGCGAAAGGCTGTGGATTTTCCCATCCATATGATCATCATCAATGCCACAAGTACTGCAATGTTATTACTCTTCTTCAACATTGTCATTGTCGCCTTCAACTCTAAATTGATTATTATTTCAAACTAATAGATGTTCGTTTGGATGTTTGATTGAAGTTGCTCTGTTTCTGTATCTATTGATCTCTATATATATGTTTAATGTACGGTCTTTGTGAGATCAAACGTGTCGAAAGGGGGCGTTGTAGAATGAATAGATGGCAGCCGAGGGTGGATGCCATGTAAGAAGTATGCAATGGGAGTGCTCGTGCGAATGGTATGTATGTAGATGTATCGATCAACCAAGGCACAGCTTGCATTGAGATTTCATTTAATTTGTCTACTAGTAGTTTCTAGTATTGCTAAGAATGCTAGCCTTTTGTTCTTTCTATTGCTATTTTTTTGTGTGTGATATGATTTTGCCAGGTGTTGTGCAGTAAAGCTTATAACGTTGGTATTTTGGATTGTATGTACAATAACGTAGGATTTTTGGAGTACATTGCATTGATGTGAGCGGTTAAATTGTAGCTTGTAGGTGGGAGTTTGATCACTTTGTTGCTTGGAATCTTTCCACTAGATTCTGTATATGAGCTTGGAATCATGGAATGCTGCTATTGGTAGAATATGAGCTGAGATCAATGCTTTTATTGACACTTAACGTATTTGTTTACATGACTTTAATGTATATTAATATTACTCCATAGTCCCTACGTCGTCTAAGAATAATTGACTCATTTGCCTTTTATACACTATTCATTTACCAACTAACTTTGCCCATAATTTATTATGGAACCTATTAAAAATAATTTTTATAGTGAAATATGTTGTTAGATATGTTTATTAATATATAAAGTTCCACAACATCAACATTTTAAATTTTTTTAACTATTATATACTACCTCTGTTTTAAATTAGTTAACACAGTTTGACATCGTGCACTATTTACAAAACTTGCTTTGACTTCGTTTTGTGATTTCGTGTTAAGAAAAAGTATAGTCATGTGAGGTTTTGCTAGATTCATCTCAACATCTATTTTTTAAATATCAATTTTTTTTATATTTTTTCTTAATTAACATGTAATTAAGGATATTTGCATTAGAAAGTATGCCTTGACAAACATGTCTAAATGAAATGTATCATCTAATACGAAATGAAAGAATTATTTAATTATATTTATTTAAGGTCAAACTAATACTTTGTGTGCTAAGTTTAATTTGGTTGTGTTTATTAGTTTGGGATGACGGGAGTACCATATGAATTTTCATTTGTTATTGATAAAGTTATACTTGTTAAACATTTTGAATTTACTGTCACTTAGCGGTCCATTTCCATCCAAGTGGGCCTCATAAACTGGGTTTTTTTTTTCCTTCGTGATCCTGTTCTACGACTTCCCTCTTACTCCTTGATTTGGCTGTTTAATTTAATTATTTTTCAGTCAAAATCTATAACAAGGTAGGGCTTTTAACTGTTATGGATCCAGCCCAATTGGTAGTAAAATGCATTTTTCTTTTAGTCCATTTACTTGGTTCATTTTATTACATTTTCTAGTTGAAGTAAGTCCAATTTTGAGACTTAAGGTGTGGCTTGTTGAGTAATCTTATGATAGTAACCCTTGGTAATAATAAGGGTAGTTATGTGGTGTAAAGGAGCAGCTAGCAGCTAGCAGCTGATCATTCACACACACAAAGCAGAGAGAAAGTGAGGGTTTGAACAAGAGCTTCCAACTACGGATTTTTCAGGACAGTTTTCAGTCATCTGTTGTTGGAAGTTCCACTGTTGGATCATGCTCAAATTTGGACGGTTGGATAGTCAGTTTTAGCTCTGGTTTGGTCAGAAAAGTCTCCGGACATAACTGTTGTTTCTTGGGTGAATTATACTCTTTTTTGCTCTCTAATTTTGATATCTTATTGTTTGTTATTGTTGGTGGGTGTGTAAACCTTGTGTAGACTGATTTGGGTTTATTTTACCCTCAATTATAAATAAGAGAAGCTAGGGTGGACTCTTTAAACGGTCTCGTGGTTTTTATCCTTCACATTGAAGGGGTTTTCCACGTATAATCTTTGTGTGTTGATGATTATTGTTTATTTCTAGTATTGTTGGTATTATTGTTGATTTGCTACTACCCTATTGTTGTTTTGGTTGTGCTATTTAGGTTGTGTGAGAATTTGGTTTGATTGGATTAAATTTGGGTTGATTGTCTTGTGTGTGACATAGTAGGTGTTGTAGTGGCCCCCTTTTTGATCCCTACAACTTGGTATCAGTGCCGAAATTTAATTTGTCACAGTATGGAGTCGAATAGTGGCAGTTCGATGGTTAAATTGACATTAACTAATTATTCAATTTGGAGACCTATGATGGAAGATTTGTTATATTGTAAAGACTTACATGAATCAATAGAAACAACCACAAAGACTAATGGTAGCATTGTTAAACCAACAAAACCTGAAAAGATGGATGAGAAAGATTGGGTAAAGTTGAAAAGGAAGACTTTAGGGACTATTGTACAATGGATTGATATTAGCTAATTCAACCATGTGTCACAGGAGTCCGACCCATATGATTTGTGGAAGAAACTTGAAGGTCTTTATGAAAGGAAGACCGCACATAACAAAGCTTCATTGATTAAGAAACTTGTTAATTTGAAATTGAAGGGTGGAAAGTCAGTTTTTGAGCATCTTAATGACTTCTAGGATATTATTAACAAGTTGACTACTATGAAGATTGTTCTTGATGATGAATTGCAGGCTTTGTTCTTATTGAGTTCTTTGCCAGATAGTTGGGAAACTTTGGTTGTGACTATTAGTAACTCTGCTCTGAAGGGCGTGATATCATTGGATGTGATCAAAGAGAGCATGTTCAATGATGAAATTAGAAGAAAGGAGATGGGAGTTGATAATTCACAAGCTCTTGTTATTGAGAACAGAGGAAGAGGCAAGATCAAGTAGGGGTCCCAAAAGGCCGTGATAACTCAAGGAGTAGGTGTGAGGAGGGTGTGCCCATCATCGGGGATCCTTCTCCTCTATGCCCATGGCCCTTTAAAGCCTAGAACTTTACACTTTTAAAAGTGTGTTAGGATTTGAATTCTTGACAGTTTGGGGGACCTTGAATTAGAATTGATTCTATTATTATGCTTTTTTGTTAGAAACTAATAAGGAGTCGCCAATGAGTTTTAGAAAAACTCATAAACCTCGTTCATGCCTTTCTCCCAAGTAGAGTTCAAGGGATATTTAGCATGAATCATAAGTTTACCCATGCCCAAATTGGTCTACTTGTACCAGAAATGAGTTTGGGAGCGAGGGTACTAGCTCTTCCTTTTTCACAATTTCATCACCGAACAATATATGCAACGTGATACCTAAAACTAAGTTAGTTGATTTTATCTACAAGCATTAATCATGTAAAGATTACATTGCAACGAATGTCGTTATTATTTGCTATTCAAATTCGTGAAAAGAACAAGAAATAAACAATATTCGACTTGACTTAAGTGATAAAACAACAATTAATTATTCAATTCTAGTCTTTAATTTACGCAAAAATACTATGTGAAATTAATTAATTAAATTTTTATTTAAAGTGATCAATCAACACTAATTAATTGATTAGAGTTATTTAAAAAAGAAAAGAAAAGTGATTTATCTAAGTGCTCAGAAAACTAACTATTCTTCTTTGTTTGCTAGATCTTTGTTTTAGATGTTTATGGACTTTCCACCTTCTTCGTACCTCAAAGGACTTCAATGGAATGGATTAGGGTTGAAGAGTAGTTGGGAAGAGAAGAGAAAAGTTGTATGATAGTAAGAGGGTATGAGAGATTAGTGATTTCAGAATTTAGGGTTTTAATTTTTGAATTTTCTCTTGTGATTAATTAGAGCTAACGAAGACCCTTATATATAGGCGACGTAGCAATCTAGGTTTAGGGTTATAAAGTCGCGGCGCCAGGTGGGGCGCGCAACTCTCAGAGTCGCGTTGAAGGGCCAAACGCAACTCTAAGACTTGCGAGCGGCAGGCTTGCGCAACTTTGAGAGTTGCGCGCGGTGCAGTTTGCCTTATACAAAAACGCGTTTTTAAAATTTTCATAACTTTTGATTGCAAAGTTAGATTAAAGCAAATAAGATATCATTGGAAAGCTTTGAATGTCTACTTTCCAATGTTATTAGAATTAGGTTAAAATCTATTATGGATCAAAAGTTATGGCCGTTTGAGTGAAAGGGTGTAGATTTTAGGGCCAGGTTTAGTATTTTGATGATAACTTCTTCGTTTTAACCCGGAATTGGGCTTATAATATACTGTTGGAAAGCTATTTCAAAGGGCTATCCATATGTATAGGCCTTTCATAGAAATTTGATAGTTGATTTATCAACAATGTAAGATCCATTTGATCCAATCATTGCATTTAACGCATTTAGGTCCATTATTAATCAAGATCAAACATGTATGAGCACGTTTTAGGCCTAATTAGTAATTGGACTAGGCTCTAAGATAATTTAGTCTCAAATATGGGTTTTAAATTACTTCATAATGCATTTCGAAGTCCATAAACACTTCAACTTTGATGTAGCATGAAGAATGGGTTTTTGTAACATCATCGCACTTCCTGTCAGGACAAGAGGCCAAAAGTAGGTGTTTACTATTAAACCCCACTTAATCGAGTCTAGAATAGACGATGATAAAAATAGTCAAGGAAATAAATCCGAGACTCATTCTGCGAAGTTCCTTAAACATAAGGAATATTTCAGTAATGTTGAGAATGTCGAAACTATCTTCGATTCGCTAAATGTTTAAGACACGTAGCTACCAAGTTTAAAATTAAATAATTTAAACTTAACGCGCTAAAGAATCTAGATTGACCTTTTGTTAGTATAGAACGCTTTTTCACGTAAAGGCTGTCCTGGGTGATGTCATGTTATTAGAAGGTACCGAGTTTAAAAAGAGTAAAGAGGATGATACCCTCTCAATATGTCATTGGCAGTCTAAAGTCCCTTGATATATCATTGAAACTTTAATCCATGATTTTAAAAAAGTAAAGATGATAAAATGGGGTGTTTCGGCATTTGTAGCCTAGCACTTTGAATATAAGATTGACATACGTTGCCAAAACAAATACTCGATGTGCACAAGATAGAAATACATGTCTTAGGACTGA